TTCCGATGCCAGAATTTTTACTTTACCAATATGAGCATGCCGTGACAACCCCTTACACGCCTCATGTTATTCGAAGAGCAACAACGTATCGTTATTTTATACTACGTGATTAAAGTATTCCCGCATCCAATACAATTTGACAATCTGAAGCGGCACCGGAAGACGAATGTCAGAAAACCGAAAGAAAATTCATCAATTTCGTCTGCACTGAATTCCTCCTTGGCGATCGTGTACTCAAAGTCGACCGACAACATCATCGTTGTCAAACAGTTTCTTCGTGGTTGGTTTTATTCTCTTACTCCGCTTGAAGCTCTCTTACGCGTATGAAGATTACCCAATAATACACGATACATACCTCGTAAAGATACAGAGAAGGAAATCCATCGATAGCCCACAACCGCCTTCGGCCATTTTGGGGCGCATCATGTAGTACCTTTATAAGGTATACGTGTATCGCGATATCTGGAATTTCGTAGCGACTGAAATATGAGGCGGCCAGGTGTAACACATTCAGTTGCCTAAAAATAGCACAAACGAGAGATTCCGCTGGGTTCCAGGTGAGTCTCTAAGAAAACCAAATTAGTTTGCAAATGACTGTATATTCGCTAATAAACCGATGGACTCTAAGAATGATCGAAACGTAGACGGATTCACTCGAAAATATACGCCAACTATCAATTGATTGCTTGTGTTGTTATTTCGACAGCGTCTGCGACCGTCTAACACTCTTCACGAAAGTGATACCTATAGTTTTTCGACGTAGGAGTGTGGTATGCAACACTGCACAAATATTTTTCACCCTTCCCGAAAATAATCAAAACTCAGACTGCTCACTAGTAGTGCTGTTGATTCATCGAATTTTCGCGACGCAGTGAGGTAAAATAAGGAATACTAGGTCAGTACCACGCATCGCTTCTGGTTTAGTTCATTACGTAAAAAGGGGCACAATTTTCCTTTCATATGTTCACAGTATTGTACGACACGAACCATTTATCTTTAGAGATCTGCTGCTCATAAGTGGGGCCATTGCTGCGAACGTTCAAGTTAACACATGATTCGTTGTCATTGTCGTGGAAATGCCAAGAGACGTATTCAGATACGGGAGGATTCCTTCGCCGTATTCCTTATTTTCAGAAATTACATGGTGGCGTAGTTGCGTAAACCCGCGGAATCACTGTGCAGTACGGACGTTCAAACGCTAAATTCAAACAACGGGAATATTCCGGGGGCTAAAAACGGGGGAAGAAAAATGAATATCGTCATGATCGACGACAAGGATAATGTGTCGGTAACACATATCGATGAGATATGCAGTTTTTCAGACGCTAACACTATTAAATTCGTTGATTTGTTGCTTCGGGAGGCATTGAGTGCCAATCCTACGATGAATTTAACAGTTGGCAACACTAAGGTGATATGCACTTGAGGAGAGGCGTCAATGGCACCTTACACTTTGCTGCGGTAAGCAAAGCACGATGTTGCATCCACCTACTTAAACTTAACAAGTCGTTGTTGGGGAGAAACAACGCATTAGTGAAGCGTGCGAGTATTCTCTGAATTTCGTCCAAAATCGAGAAACGTCTGCAAGGCTCCTTGCGCTCACATCGTAAAGAGCCAATGTAGCCAGGACAAATTTGTTATAACAATCTGTGATAAACGAAGTACATGGGGTACCATAACGGCTAACGAGAGTATTAACGATAAACTCCTCAGATCTCTTGTCAGAAACGGGGTTTCTTGGAAGTTTATATAACGATTGTGAGTTATTCACTTTTTGTGTTTGACGCCGCAAAGCATATGGTCGTCTATCTATTGGAGTGAAATGTGTAAATCAAACAAGAAAATATCATGGGAATCCCAATAAACTGAGCTCGATAATATCCGAGGGCTTTGCTGATGTGCTGAAAAAGAGCGGAAATGCTGAGCACTTGCCAGGTGTAATTATCAGGACTAGTAAGCTGAATTGCCCGCTCCACTTATTCATCGTTCTCCTGTTCTGTGATAAAAA